TTACATTTAACCGTTCGACTTACTGTATTTTTATATTAATAAACTCAATAAAAAATATTAAAAATAAAATTACTAATTTATTATACCTCAGGCTATTTTGCCTGAGGCTATACACTACCGTCTCTTCCTTAGATGTGCGCAGATCTCTACTGAGTCTGCGCGTGCTTATATCGGTGCTCCTCTACTTATATGCATTTGCATGTATTTTTAAAATGTTTTATTTATCTAATTACTTTTATCATTATATGAATCACATAATATAATTGTAATTAAAATGTAATTAAGGATTGTATTATTAAATTAACTAATTATTATGTATTTACTAAAGTGCATAATTAACGCTAAAGACCGTGATTAAGGTATGTTTAAGTAATCACAATAGGTAAATTACCAATTTAGTATATTTTATGTTATATTCATAAAAGAAAGTTTATACAATATTTAAAAAATCCATGATAAAGATATTAAATTAAATTCATTAATAACATGATTATATTGTTATTTGTTGTAATTTAATAACATTTTTAAAAAACCTTCAGAAAAACCTCATAATTATGTTATTGTAGAATATTTATAGGTTTAAAAATCTGACAAATTAATTATGTTTAAAACTTTTTTGCATTGCTATAAAATGCAAATAATAGTTTTTAAATACCAAAATAATAAAATAATTGATCGAAGGGCATGGAAAACCAGGTATTTTGTATACTTACTGTATACAAAATAACTTGTTTTCCATGCCCACCGATCAATTATATAATATTGTTTAATAGTAACAAACCTATTGTAAGTGTATTTTGCATTTTTATAAAATATTTAGTTACTGTTATTTATAAATACAGTTAACTATGTATTTGTAATGATATTCAAATATTAAATTTATGATCATTACTAATGATTCATTAGTATGTGTTCAAATATATTGTAACAAAATAAATGTTGCGAATGTTGCAATGTAATAAATTTACTTATATAAATCAAAATGTGTACGTAATCTTAAATTATTTTTTCAAGTTTTAAACATCGTTGCCAAACATACAGGAATTTCCTGTATTATACAGAATTTTTCACAGAATACAGGAATAAATTTTCTTGTACATTAAAAAATCCAGGAATAAATATTTCAAAATAAGCTGTAATACAACATTTTTTGGTAATTTTTTCACATTTATACAGGATTTTCAAAATATGATTTGGCAGCACTAGTTTTCAATTCATATCTTTTGCTTTTAGTTGGAAAACTTTTTGGACAATATTCTTAGCAACAATTGTAATGGTATTTACATGTTTTCATACTAATCATTCTTTACAACAAAAATGATGTTTAAATAAAAACTACTTTTAACAAAGTTTGTATTGTTATTGTCTATCATTGTCTATCTGTGTATAATTAACCATAGTTATTTTGCCAATATTATAATCAATATTTTATTTTTAAATTAATATGATTGCTTTATTATATGCAAATTGCATTTATTATAATAATACAATGTAAAATTTATATTCTGAATGTAATATTTACTATTGCACTCTACGCAAGTATGACTGCACTAAATGCACTTTTTGCACTTCATGTGTATTATAACCATAATAGAATATTTATGAAGTGTGCGAATATAGTATATAAGCTATGAATCAAAATTTCAAACATAAAAATATAATAAAATCCAACAGATAATCAACGACTAAAATCATAGTAAACAATATATTTGTAATTGTGAATAAATATAAGCAAATCATTTGTAATATTATTAGCGAATTATATAATTTTTGGCAAATATTAACCATGAGCTACAGAAAGGCCACATGTTTTTCAACCAAAGAATATTTCGAGACTATAACCGGTCGACGGAGGAAAGTGGAGACCGACCGGCGACTGGACGGTCAGGTGGTAGTGATTACCGGCGCCAACGCCGGCATTGGCAGAGCCACGGCACAGGAGTTGGCCAAACGGGGTGCTAAGGTATGTCCACACAATTACTAATACAGTGCAACTTTTCCATAATGAACGGCCAGTTCAAAACCGTTTGTTATGAGGAGGTGTTCATCCAAGAGAAGTTTACCCATGAGAAGTTACACTGTATCACCATAACTTTTGTAATTTTCATCTAGTTTAAAACAAGACAGGGTCAAATAGGGGATGCTTTAAATATGACGTGGTTATTGAATCACCAAGGTGTTTTTAAACTATATACTCTATATTATAAAGTATTTTCGTACACTATGAATGAGTAACATGTGAATAGTCTATAAATTACAACACAAGGGTTTTATGCTGGGTGTACGCTAGTGTAAATTATGCCTGCTTATAATCTAGTTAAATAGTGTTGGCAACATTTAACTAATATCAAAATGCTTATATTTAAGGTGATTATAGCGTGTCGTTCGGTAGATAAGGGCGAAGCGGCGGCCGATAAGATCCGTGCGCTGTATGCCGGGGCTAATGTTGTGGTAATGGAGTTGGACTTGTCGTCCCTCTCGTCTGTCCGCCGGTTTGCTCAACAATTGAGTGATAGGGAAGCGGTTGTGGATATACTTATTAATAACGCCGGCATTGCGTTCGTACCGGAGGCCAAAACCGTCGATGGCTTTGAGATGCATTTGGGGACAAATCATTTGGGTATTTAATAATGCTATTTATTGCGCTTATTTGGTGTCTGTAATACATATAATAATATTTAATATTGGTCAAACAATGAATATTTTTAAATATTACCTAGGCCACTTCCTGTTGACATTACATCTACTACCACTAATAAAGAAATCTAAACTTGGTAAAGTGGTAACGGTAGCATCGAGCGGGCATTTGGTGGGCAAAATTAACTTTGACAATATAAACCTACTAAACGGCGCGTACGCTCCGGTGAAAGCGTACGGCCAGAGTAAACTGGCCAACATATTATTCAGCCGCGAGTTGTCCCATAGATTGGGTGCGGACAGTACGGTACGAACTTATAGCATACATCCCGGTGCCGTCAATACGGTACGTCCCGAGACCACGTCAGTCGCCTCAACGTTTCTCAAACTAACCGGTTTGACCCCCGAGATGGGCGCCCAGACCACACTGTACTGCGCCCTCGACCCCCAATTGGATAATGAAACTGGGTGCTATTATGTGTAAGTGTTATTTATTTTGTGTATATTAATATTTCTAACTCATTGTTTTTATTATTGATTATTAATTGTAATTATTTATCTCCAATAATTTATTTTTAATAAATTATATAATACAAATTAATATTTTTACATTTAGGAAATTTTATTTGTATAGATATTTCATTAAATGTTATTGTTTTATTAATTGATGTAAATGTTTATATAATAATTTTAATTTGTTTATTAATTGACAGAAATTGCCGTAAAATAAATAAAATGATTTCTACGACAACCGACGATAAGGCGGCTGAAAGGCTATGGGATTATAGCTGTGTTTTGGTCGGTTTGGAGGACAACTATCGTATTTAGAATGTACTTGATGAATATTGTATTTTATTTAAAAAGTACATTTTGTATATTCCATCAATTATTTACTTGTATTTTTATATAATATGCATTTGCATGTATTTTTAAAATGTTTTATTCATCTAATTACTTTTATCATTATATGAATCATATAATATGATTGTAATTAAAATGTAATTAAGGATTGTATTATTAAATTAACTAATTATTATGTATTTACTAAAATGCATAATTAACGCTAAATACCGTGATCAAGGTATGTTCAAGTAATCACAATAGGTATATTACCAATTTAGTATATTTTATGTTATATTCATAAAAGAAAGTTTGTACAATATTTTAAAAATCCACGATAAAGATATTAAATTAAATTCATTAATAACATGATTATATTGGTATTTGCTGTAATTTAATGCTATTTAGAATAACGTCCAGAAAAACCTCATAATTATGCTATTATTGAATATTTATAGGTTTAAAAATTTACAAAATAATTATGGTTAAAACTTTTTTGTATTGTTATGAAATACAATAAATAGTTTTTAATATCAAAATAATTAAATAATATTATTTAATATTAACAAACCTACTGTAAAGTTTATTTTGCATTTTTATAGAATATTTAGGTACTGTTATTTATAAATACAGGTAACTATTTACTTGTAATATAGTCAACTATTAGTAAAGCATTAACATACTGTATACAGTTAAACCATGTATGTAATATTAAGGCCAAAAATATGTAATACAATATGTGGTAATACAATCACCAAAATGTTTGATATTTTAATACAAAATGGTAAAACATTGTATTATGCACAAATTATGATGAAACATGCAAATAATTAATGATTTATACAGTTTTCCTAATGGTATTCATTAAAAATATTCAGATTTACTTATAAATACCTAATCTAAAATTATTCATCTGTTCTCCGTCTACTTTAGTTTATTTGAGCTAGTAATGATTTTTATAGACAAATATGTTTGAAGTGTGAATAAATAAAATACTTAAATTATTTGCCAGAAATATAATTTTTGAATCAATTATTTGACAAAATTTTTGAAAAAATCATGCAATTTTCATATATTTTGCCGATTTTCCTATAATATGTGCTAACATCCAAAATAATATTATTTAATTATATGTATTTATGTAATAACAAATAGGTCGTAAAATACTCCTTATTATATGATACGGATAGATCTTTAAGCTAGAGTGCGATATCTTGTACCACATAAATATGTAAAGTTAACGCTTTGGTCATTAGTATGTGCTCAAATATATTGTAACAAAATAAATGTTGCAATTATTTTAATCAAAATGTGTACATAAGTTTGTGAAATTAATTTTCAAGTTTTCAATTACTCTCCTAAACATACTAATCACAATACAACAAAAATAATGCTTAAATAAAAATTTATTTTAACAAAATTTGCACTATTCTGGTGCATTGCTAATTATTATTAATAATATAATATCAATATTCTATTTTTAAATTAATATGATTGCTTTTTTACCTGCAAAGCATATTCTTGATGTAATATTTACTATACAGTACGCAAGTGTGATTGCACTCTATGCACTTTTTGCACTTTATATGTACTAATGTTTTTACCATAACAGAATATTTCTGAAATGTGCAAATATATTCAGTAGTATATAAGTAGCAAATGAAGTATAATTTTGAACATAATAAAACCAGTTGCATAGTCAACGCCTAAAATAATAGTAAATGATATATTTAAGATTATAAAAAATATAAAAAATCATTTGTAATATTATTAACATAGTTATTTTTGACGAATATTTATTATGAGCTACAGAAAAGCTACATGTTTTTCGACCAAAGAGTATTACGAGACTATAACCGGTCGACGGAGGAAAGTGGAGACCGATCGACGACTGGACGGTCAGGTGGTAGTGATTACTGGCGCCAACGCCGGCATTGGCAGAGCAACCGCACAGGAGTTGGCCAAACGGGGTGCTAAGGTATGTCAAAAAAATTACTAATATCATCATAACTTTTGTAATTCTCATCTAGTTACAGTAAATAGTGTTGGCAACATTTAACCAATATCAAACTGCTTATATTTAAGGTGATTATAGCTTGCCGTTCGGTAGATAAGGGCGAATTGGCGGCCAATGAGATCCGTGTGCTCTATCCCGGGGCTAATGTTGTGGTAATGCAGTTGGACTTGTCGTCCCTCAAGTCTGTCCGCCGGTTTGCTCAAGAAATGAGTGATAGGGAACCGATTGTGGATATACTCATCAATAACGCTGGCGTTGCGTTTATACCGGAGGCAAAAACCGTCGATGGCTTTGAGATGCAGTTCGGGACAAATCATTTGGGTATTTAATGATGCTATTTATTGTGCTTATTTGGTGTATAACAGAACGTTCAAACAAAAATGTTTCTATGCCCAATAACTTTAGGACTAATCAAGATAAATTGACTTAAAATTTTTAGTATTTTTAATATTCAGAGTCTAAATTTCAGACTCTAAGTACACTAGTTGATGTTTACATATTCTATGAAATTATCATGATTGATTATAATTTAGACTCTTTATCTTTTAATAAAATATTGTCCATGTACTAAATATTTACATCTCGATAATCTGTAATACATATAATAATATTTAATATTGATTAAACAACAAATATTTTAAAATTTTATCTAGGCCACTTTCTGTTGACATTACATCTACTACCACTAATAAAGAAATCTAAACTTGGTAAAGTGGTAATGGTATCATCGAGCGTGCATTTAATGGGCAAAATTAACTTTGACAATATAAACCTGCTAAACGGCGCGTACGCTCCGGTGAAAGCATATGCCCAGAGTAAACTGGCCAACATATTATTCAGCCGTGAGTTGTCCCATAAGTTGGGTGCGGACAGTACTGTACGTACTTATAGCATACATCCGGGTGTCGTCAATACACAGGAGGGGGTACGTCACGAGTCGTTTAGCACGGCTTCAGTCTCCGCAACATTTCTCAAACTAACCGGTTTGACCCCCGAGATGGGCGCCCAAACCACACTGTACTGCGCCCTCGACCCCCAGCTAGATAATGAAACTGGGTGCTATTATGCGTAAGTGTCTTTTATTTTGTGTATTTCTTACTTGTTGAATTTATAAGTTAGTATTAATTGTAATTATTTATTACCAGTAATTTATTTAGAGTAAATTAATACATTGAAAATTTTATTTTTATAAGTATTTTTGTAAAATTTTTATTTTTTATTAATTGACAGAAATTGTCGTAAAATAAATAAAATGATTTCTACGGCGACCGACGATAAAGCGGCTAAAAGGCTATGGGATTACAGCTGTGTTTTGGTCGGTTTAGAGGACAACTATCGTATTTAAAATGTGCTTGATGAATCTGGCATCTTATTTAAAATGTACATTTTGTATATTCTTCACTATATAATTTTGTATAAAGTGCACTAAATTACTATAATTAGAATTCGCATTATCTTTAACTTAAAGTGTTACATAACTTTATTTTAACTTTTATGATATTTTCTAACCGATTGTTATGCATAGGTTATGTAATTTATTCTAATATTATATGATTGTAATTAAAATGTAATTAAAAATTGTATTGTTGAATTATTGAATTAAATAGTTATTGTATGATTACTAAATAATTAAAGACAATGATGTTTAATTAATCACATTACGTAAATTACCAATTGAGTATAAAGTATTTTATATTATAGTCGTTGAAAGAAATTATACAATAAAAAATTTTTGATAAAGATATTAAATACAATTCATTAAAATGATTATATTGTCATTTGCTTTAATTTAATGACAGTTTAAAATAACCTTCAGGAAAACCTCAAATTATGTAATTGTCAGTTATTTATAGGGTTAAAATGGTGACAAAATAATTATGTTTTAAACTTTTGTTATAGAATACAAATAATAGTTTGTAAAAATCAAAATAACAAATATTAAAGAATAAAATAAGTCTTAATTTTATATTTAAAAATCTCGTTATTTTCCTTTTAAGTAATATTTGAGTCTATTTTGTATTTTTTTTAAATATAAAAATAGTAAATATCTATTTACAGTTATTTATAAATACAGCTAGCTATTGTATTTATACACAACATTTTTATTTAAATATAATATAATTTTTTAATTAAAACAGGATTTTTATAAACTTTATAAATATGTTTTGAGAATTTTATTATATAATTGAATCTACATTTAGATGAGCATAAAATTTAGATCAATAAATATATTTTAAAAATAAATTCAGCGTGTCATTAATTTGTCATTAATTTTATGAAATATTACATTATTTATTTAAAACAAAAAAATATATTTTAATAATCATTATATTATATTTAATGAAATATATAATTAAAACTATATTTACTATTCTAATCTAAAATCAATAAATTTGTAATTAAACATGAATATCCATTTACCATATAATTCATTATTTATTAATTATTTTAATAATTTATTGAATAATTTTTTAGTCTATCTTTTAAATGCTATTGATTATAAAAGTAGTCTAATATTAAATAGATATTTACAAATATCCATACAATAATACTTTAAAGTAAAAATGACAATTACAATTCATAATATGCATCATTAGTGGCTGTTTGTGTTTATATCCAAATCTATTTTATATTGGTCTAATATAATTAACAATAGTTTCATTGCTGTTATCATCAATATTTTACCTATGCAATAATATGGATATTATTACCTAATTATATGCAATTCATATCTTATGAGTAATACAATTGTAATACTGTGTACAACTGCACTACAGTATTGTATGTAATGTACAGTACTTACTGCGCACCGGTAGGCAAAGTCCATATGGACTTGTTTGCCCTTCATGAATTTGCACTGTCAAATATTCTTACCATAGTTGTATTTCAGATATAAAAGTTGACATGTAAAGCAGTAATTTTTATATTTTTAAAAACAGCAAACAGTCTGAGTTTTTAGTGAATTCATTATATTATTGATACGTAAATATATAATAAATATTTATTTGGGTTGAATAGTATTTTACCCTATTTAGTAAAAGTTAATATTAATCATGAGCTATATAAAAGCAGCTAACTTTTCAACCAAGGTGTTTTATGAGATTAAAACCGGCCGACGGAATAAAGTGGACACCGATCGCCGGCTGGACGGACAGGTAGTGGTTATTACCGGCGCCAACACCGGTATTGGTAAAGTAACCGCCCAGGAGTTGACCAACCGGGGCGCTAAGGTATGCTTATATGCTTATTAACTAGTGTAAATGTAGAATGACATTTTGTTTGATGTGCAAAATTAATGATGGGTGTTTATTTTTAGGTGATTATAGCGTGTCGTAACGTAGATAAGGGTGAATCGGCGGCCAATGAGATTCGCACTGAGAACCCCGGGGCCAATGTTGTGGTAATGCAGTTGGACTTGACGTCCCTCAAGTCTGTTCGTCAGTTCGCCCACGAGGTTAGGGATAGGGAGCCGGTGCTCGATGTGCTCATTAATAACGCGGGTGTTATGATGACACCCGAGTCGAAAACTACCGATGGTTTTGAGCTGCAATTTGGGACAAATCATTTGGGTATTGATTTTGATATTAATTATTATTTATTATAGGAATTATTACATTTCTAAACTTTTCAAAATTATTGCATATGATTAAATATGAATATTACATATTGTATTAATTACACAAATGGAAATTTGTTTAATATAATCTAGGCCATTTTCTATTGACGCTACACTTATTGCCACTCATTAAACAATCTGCTCTTGGTAAAGTAATCACGGTATCATCCAGTGGGCATTTAGCGGGCAAGATTAATTTTGACAATATAAACCTGCTAAATGGCACGTACGCGCCCACTAAAGCCTACGCCCAGAGTAAACTGGCCAATGTATTGTTTAGCCTGGAGTTGGCCCGTAGACTGGGCGGTCTAGACAGTACAGTCAGGACCTATTGCCTACATCCCGGGCCCGTCAATACGGAACTGCAGAGACACGTGTACGACAAGTCCGGCGCCGGCGCTATGAAGTCCCTTATGAAATGCATAGGTTTGACCCCCGAGATGGGCGCTCAGACTACACTGTACTGCGCCCTCGAGCCATCACTGGACAATGAAACTGGGTGCTATTATGCGTAAGTGTTATTTTATTAAAATGATAACACATTTTATTTTTATATGTAAATAATTTTTATCAAACTGGAAATATTTTAAATATAATTTTTATTATATGATTAATAATCATTAATTATACAGTGTATAATATACACTTTATAGTATTTTTATACAATATTTAGATATTAATAATTTTGTTTAATTAGTTTTTAACCCTACGCAAACTTAATTTTTATTATATTTTTAATTCATTTGTAAATAAGTATTTTTTATTTTTAGAAATTGTCGTAAAATAAATAAAATGATTTCTACGGCGACCGACGATAAAGTGGCCAAAAAGCTATGGGATTACAGCTGTGTTTTGGTGGATTTGGAGGACGACTATCGTATTTAAAATGTGCTTGATCAATCTGGCAACTTATTTATTATGTTAATTTTTGTATATTTCTCACTACATAATTTTTGTATTAAGACCTAGGTCAAAGTATAGCAATTATGCATTTCTTAAAACTCTAAACTACCATAATAATCCACATTATTTTATCTTAAAGTATCAAATAATTTTATCTTAACATTTATGATATTGTCAATCTAATTGTTGTGTTTAAGTTATACAATATAGCTTAATATAAGTATTATGTTAATTTAAAACAATGTTTACTAATATAATGTCACACAAAATTGTCAATAAATTGCAATAAAATATTGTTTTATTTTTATGAAACAAATAATATGTATCGAAAATTAATTAAAAAATCAAAAATAAACAATTACAATTTTAATAATTTTCCCTTTCAAATTAATAGTAATATTTTCCATAGATTAACAATTGATAAATTTGATTTCATCTATGTCAACATCGGCATAAGGTGGGTCATTTTGAAAGGTCGTACCCTCGCCACTGACCATTACACGTGACGCTTCGGGCAACTGACCGATTGTGGCCGTAATGGTTGACCAGTCCTTATGTTGAGTGTTCACAAACAGTACTTCACGTTGAGCACCATTGCCCGGTTCCTCTACAATTACCTTGAGGGTTGCAATATACGATGTTGGTACGTAATTACGGTAACGCAATTGTAGAGTGCACGTAGTCTTGGTAGTTTGTAAATACTGGGTGGCCAAAACCGCCGGCTTTTCCGACCATTCTGTAATATTAAATCAAATTTAATTAATTAATTAATTATGAGAGAGAGAGAGAGAGAGAGAGAGAGAGAGAGAGAATACATACTCATATGGGTATCAATGATAGCATAATAGCCTGATTTATGTCCGGCGCCGTCCACTTCTGGCAACAGTCCTCCCAATGATGTCCTGACAACCCATCGGTTATCGCCGGCACTGATGTCTTCCCAACGGCAAAGGTTTCCGCCATCAAAGTTGCACTCGTATTGTGTTATGGGAACCAATCCCTGGACACCAAACACCACCACAATTAATAATAATACTGCCAACAATTTCATTGCTAAATCAATATTAATCCATTAGTTAAATATAATATCTAAGATGTTAATTATTATAATAAAATTACTTTAGACAGATAAAATTACAGTATTATATCAACTGGGTGAACAAGCAGTTGTGTGAACTTAGCATTTGTATGAACCAAACCCTAAAACCAAAACCCGCAGTCCATAGACACAATGCTAAAATAGTATCAACTGTGTGAACGTCAACTGT